TACCGGGGTTGCCTGAAACACTGAAGGGGGGGTCAATGCGCCTCCTGTTCCAGGCGCACCAGTGCCCTGGAAACAGTGCTACTTTCAGCAATCCCGGTAAAAAGAACTGCGGCCGCTTCGGACGAGCTTTGTTCTTTTGGGGTTTCATGTTTGGGTTCAAGCTAGGAGCAGTGCAACATGCCTTAACGCTTAGGGTTTCTTTTCCCTTGTGTTTAGGGCATGTTGTGAATCGAACTACGCGTTGGCCATTTTGCTCCTAGCCTTGACCCAAACCTGCGGTTTCATTTGAAACCCACCCACCCACCCTGCACTGCCCTATACCAGGCTCTGCAAGTATAGGTGGCAGACACTCTGCACTTTCATTGGTGCCTCCGGGCCTTTTGGTCTCCGGACCAGGTCTCCGGACCCACATTGGTCTCCGGACCTTGAGTCTCCGGACTCTTCGGTCTCCGGACCTTGGGGCGTGGGCACGCATGCCGCGCCCCACCAGCACTGCATGTGCACGCAAGGACACGCATTGTCTTGCCTTTTCACATTTCGGGGGGTCAATGCGCCTCCTGTTCCAGGCGCACCAGTGCCCTGGAAACAGTGCTACTTTCAGCAATCCCGGTAAAAAGAATTGCGGCCGCTTCGGACGTGCTTTGTTCTTTTGGGGTTTCATGTTTGGGTTCAAGCTAGGAGCAGTGCAACATGCCTTAACTGGTTGATTTGGGTTGCCGCAGTTACTTTTGGGTTGTTGTCAAGTCCATATTGTGGTGTTGACAACTCGACCCACTTAAATCTATTTCGATGAAATGGGTCTCGAGCGCCAGCAGCTTCGCCCTCCGGCGCCAGGGGCCGGTTCGCGGACGCGTTGACGGCCATGCGCTTACCAGCGTGGCGTCTGACCACCCGGGCTTCGCGGGGAAAAGTGCTTTCAGCCTCGCCTTGGCTTGCTCCAGCGGCGGGGCTCCCTGCGACGCGAAGCCACTTCCAAAGTTCGCCTAGGGAACATTTTGATTCTCTCGGCAAATGTAATTGTACACATATATATGTATATGTACGGTAGAGAATTCGTGTTTACGCGCCTTGGAGCTATCGAAAAACCTTCGGGTGTGAGATTCGGCGGCCTTTCTGATTTCGGCAACAGTTTTTTTCATATTCTCGTTTTTGTTCTTTTCGCGTTTAAACGTGTCAACAAAGTCATAATTTCTCACGCGCTACAGAGCTCGTTTTTTTTTGGGCATCGTATTGGGCGGCCTTTCTGGTTCTCGTGGCAGATATTGTGGGTTCAACACGTATTTTTTTGGCGGACAAGCAAATCGGGTTTGTCGAACAAAACGGGTTGCCCAAGAAGTTGACCCGTAATTTCGGATCTAAAACGTGAGGTTTGTCACCGAGATCAAGCGTGAAATTGTTAAATTAGCATCCTCGAATTGCGTATGCATTTTTTCCATGCAGTTTGCAGCTGACATCCAGGCGGTCCAAGAGCTCAGCCACCCAAGTTCATGCTGCTTCCATTGAGTCCTGTCAGCAGCGAGTTGAAAATAGTGTATAACACGGCACGGCACTATTTTGACGCGAACTACCGTTGTTTTGCGTCTTCTCTTCAATGCCGCGATTCAGAGTTTGTGGGGGTGCTTAGTGTCGTTCTGGACAAACGCAAGTGCATTTTGTTGCAACATGCACTTGTTTTGCATTCTCGGTGCTGAGCAAATCCAGTCTGCTTGTTCAGCACAATTGCCGTAGTTCGGCCATGAATTTGGTGCTGAAAAGCGCAATTGTGCCTGGTCCGGGGTTGCATGTACTTGTTTGCCTTCGAGATTGGGCAGCCAGAGTGTGTACTGCGTTACACACACATACATTCGCGTGTTGTGTCTTATTAACTTCGCTTTGTTGACAGCTCAAATGTGCAAACTTATTTGTTTGCGCAGCTGAACACTTTTGGGGTTCTGAGTTCAAGGTGCTGCTGTAGCGTGGGGGGCCGTTTGAAACTGCTTGACTAGGTGCAACAGCGCCCTGCAACTAGTGGCGGCCTGTAACAGCACCTTGCAACAGCACCTTACGCACCCTACAACAGTACAGAGTGCTGCCGAAGGGCGCGGTTGGAGGGGCGTGATCAAGAGTTTTTGGGAGGGTGCAGCTGCGGAGCGTGCGACGCGCTCAAGCTTGCTTTTGCGTGATTTGTATGCACAGGAATTTAATAGCTGTCAAGCACTTTTGTTTTGACACGCAAATGCAACAGTCTTGCTTTGTGGGTTGCATGTCGCTTGTTTGTTTTTTTTGCAACAAGAAACATGTTTTAGCTCTTGTGCACATCTTCACTGGGTTCATTCATTGGTCCATCTCCCAGCAGTTTGCGGCTCTATACTAGTCAAAAGCTTGGGAGCTTTGTGACTGGAAGCGACTCGGCTGTTCATTGAGTCAGGTCCCGCATCTGGGATGACTCAAAACCTGAAGGGAGGGTACCCTCCCACCAATTCACAACTGACAGGCCCTGGTTTGGACCATTCTCCCTTTATAGGGATCCCGTGTCAGGTTCCATGTTAATTGGTGGGAGGGTAATTGGGAAGACACACCGTTGATTCCAACCTGGCCAGGTCGACCATGCAGGAGGATGGCATGCTCCGATTCATCGAGGGGGAAGACAACGGCGAATCTGCAGCCCATGATGGCTCCTACATGGTGCCTGGGTTTACACACGGTCGACGGTCGATTTTTTTTCCCGTTTTGGTGCGTGGACAAGCTGTGCCATGGTGTTTGCAATATGTGAGTGCAGCTCTTACGATTGTATGGGATCAGGGTCCATGACTCTGAGTCTCATTTGTTGCCCACGAGGTGAAGCAGGATGTCCTTGTCAGCAAGTTCAAGAAGTTTGTCCGAGAATTTGCGTGCGCCAGTCAACTCATGCCGTGTGGAGCTGATTGTTTGGGATCTTGCATGGCTTGCATGGGTGATCTCTGCTGGCGATCATTGCAGCGTTAAGCAACAAGTGACTTTGCAGTCCACACCAGCATTCAGATGCATGAAGGTACAACGAGGGCGACAACGGCAAGATGGATGCCAACACGTGCCGCTGCCGGATTGTGTCTAGAAGAAGTGCCTCCATGCTTTTCATTGCTTGATGACGGGAGCTTGTGTACATCACGTTCTACATTCTCTGGATTTCTGCCAGGTTGAAGTACCGACAGCAGCTCCAACAAAACTGCTGTGATGGTCTCTACAGACTGGAGGTGTGCCCATTTGCCGCGCAGACATTTATGCCTGGAGAGCGCATTGGCATTGTTCCTATTTGACACTTTAGCACGATGGCCTCAGCCTGGCTGAAGTGCATGCTTGCACCGTGGCTCTTGTTCATTGCCCCTTAGCAGCTGTTTCTTTTCCAGCTTCTTTGCCAATTCGCCTTCATATGCATGCTGTTTGCTGGCAAATAAAACAGAGACACCACGAAAAGCAGATGTCGGAGCAAGGATGACCCAGATTTTCGATTCGAGAGCATGTGCCAGTGGCACACTTTCGCGCATGCACACCATGACGCCCAGCCAAAGGCACCTTGGCGTCACATTTCACGGCATTTGTGTCAAAGTGGGCAGGCAACATGTACAGCGATTTGTGACAGGGGTTTCTTCTTAAATGAGTGACTTGGATCCAAGGTTGCTTCCCATTTTGGTTGCAGTGCTGGCTGAGCCCTCGGATTGATTGCAAGAGAATGCTTAGTGCAGCTAATTGTTCGCTCTGCAAGGTCCCTCATGATTGTATTGGGCTCAGGGGGCTGCAAGGGCGGGCAGAGACTTCCAGGCTTCCACACTATGAACGGATACTTCAAACAGAAATCAGTTGTTGCTTTCACTTGCTGATCCGATTTGGAGACAACTGGTACTAGCCCATTTGACTTATTTCATGTGATTTTGCAGGCAAGGCTATCAACGAGCATTCTGCGGAGTACAGCGCGAACGCAGCAACAGCTTGCCTGATAGAGTAAAAACACTATTACTGCCATCAGCCGCCACTACCATCAGAACCACCACAATCACCACCACGAAAACAATTACCACCGGCAAGGCCACCACCAGCAGCACCAGCACCACCAGCACCAACAGCACCACCCCGCACCAGCACCACCAGCACCACCAGCACCACCGGCACTACCAGCACTATCAATGCCACCAACACCAACACCAAAAACTTCAGCAAAGGGCACAAACTAAAGCAACCACAAGAACAACGGCTAGGAGCAGCAGCAGCAGCAGCAGCAGCAGCAGCAGCAGCAGCAGCAGCAGCAGCAGCAGCAGCAGCAGCAGCAGCAGCAGCAGCAGCAGCAGCAGCACAAAGACCACCAGCACAAACACAGTTCAACCGGCAAGACCGCAATCAACCACCAACAACCACCACAACCACAACAACATCAGCCACCACAACCACTCACCATCGCTGTGGACAACCATAATCGCAATCATGACCAGAACCACAAACGGCTGAAAGACCAAGAATGCATGCAGCAGCTGCAGCCGCAAAAAGCAGAGCCAGCAACCACCCTGATGCAAACTGCATGAAACCTACATACCTACATGTCTACATACCTGCGTACACGACGTATATTTTCATATAAACGATATAAGGACATGTAGATATACGTGTCTATTAAGATGCTCATCCGCTCTGAGTGTGTGTGTGTATGCACGTGATGTTTTCTGGCATCACCAAATGTTGTGCGGCGAATGCACGCATTATTGGACTGACCATTTTAGGTACTGCGGCCAAGAAGGCGCTTGACAGCTGCGCAACGTGTAGTTGTAGTGTAATGCCAGTCACACTTGGGTTGGAGGTACAAAAGTTTCGACTTGAGATTCCTCGTTGGAGTCTTACGCGCGCTTCAATTGCTAGGCGAACAAAGCGTTGTGCAGAATAGATGGCCCAAACAACAGCATGAGCTAAGGAGTGACAGTGGAAGAGCTGGCGATCGTCTCAGCTGTTTGGACGAGCTTCCTTCTGTTGCGAGATGCGTTGAATTGAGGAGAAGAATGCTACCCTCAGAACGGGACTCCATGCTTACGTGGCATGGATGTTTGCAGCCAATCAGCTGCTGTGCAGTTTGGCCAGGTTTTATCAGGGTTCGCACAGAAGTGGAATGCCATCAATTGGCCTGGATCTCAACAGATCCAAGCCTTATTGTGTGATTTGCCACTGCTTCCTAAGCCCTGAGAAGGACACTGGACTACTTGACGGACAAGATCCCTTTTGAGTGGGTCAGTGGCTTGGTGAGTGGCCTGTGGTCAAAGGTTGTTGTAATGGCAACATCATTTGCCGCGAGACAGCGCTTGGGTGCAATGTCTTGCGCATCTCGAAACAGAAGGTGGACTACTACCCGAACAACATGAACGATGTGCTCCCACATCTAATTCAATGCTGCATTGAGAGCAACAAACTGAGGTGGGGAGCAAGCCCTACTTGTTCAAGTTCGACAGAGCTGTGTGACAGCCCCGGGCAAGGTGTATGTGGCAAGTGAGACACTTGCAATTGCAGTCCAGCTTCGTGTGTGCACTTATCATCGGCTAGCAGAGCTAGATGAAGCCGATTCGATGATCTGTCTTTCGGGTTCACATGGGTACGGTCAAAAACAAATCAAGGGACCGCAGGTAGTCCTTTCCATTTCATCTCCAGGAAAGAGTTTCAGACTCCGAAAGAATTCAAAAGCGGCAAGCCCAAGCCAGACGCTCAGCGGGGTTCCACGGGTTTCGGAAACCCGTGACTTTGCTGGCTCGATGCTGCTGCGAAGTCGCTAGGTGGTTGCATGAACCCAGGCTTTGGTCCCCTGAAAGGAAACCACCAGGTGGATGGTTGAAAAAGGGTCATTCCATTTCTCATTCCCTGAGCACCAGCAAGTCGGTTTTGCTCTATCTCTTGCTAGCAAGGTACATGCAGATTCGGCCCGCGCCCTGGATGAGGCGTCTAGGTCTCAGGACTTTGTTGGCCTAGGTCCCAATGTTTCAAGCCTCCAAACGAAAAGGTTGCCGACAGATGCTGTTTTCAGCCGTCAGATCAGGCTGAGCCTACGTGGATGGAAGCGCTTGAAAAAGGACTTCATGCCGAGCCGGGCTGAGCTTCCCAAAGTGAGAGACGTGACCCGAAGCAAACGTGGCGGAGAAAGCCCAGCAGAAGAAGAAGGCTTTGTCATGCTTGTTCGATTCAGACAAGGAAACCACTCCCAGACGTTTTCTGGGATGACGACGAGTGGATTAATCAATGTATGCAGAAAGAAAGCAAGGCCGGGGCGTCCGCTCTATGTGCGAGTGCCAGCTGACTCACACTCAGACCAATCCCTGCAGGTCGACAAGCCTGCGATCAACAACTTCTTCGTGACAAATCAGTGGAAGTTCCTGCTGATTGGCGAGGAAGGCCTGCCCGTGCCGGCGGATTTAAGTTTTGCAACCAGAAACCTGAGGTACTACCATGTTTTTCCACAAAGACGGCACTGCTGGGGGCCAAAGTTTGCTTTTTTTCAGGCGCTGAGAGGGTGTGTTGGTCACCTCTCTTCATCGCAGCCACACCCTCAGCTTATCTGCCTTTGCAGCCATGGGTGTTTCGAATGCAGCCACTTCGCGCGAGCGCAGCCGCAGCAGAGGGCGGGATGAGTCTGTGGTTCCCATCATCAACATTGCCGCGCTGTTGGGAACTGATGCGACTGCCAGGAAAGACGTGGCAAAGGCAATCGGCCAGGCATGCGAGGATATTGGATTCTTTGTCGTGGTGAATCACGGCATTCCCTCCGAAGTCGTTGACCGTGCTTGGAGTCAAACCTTGGGTTTTTTTGACCTTCCTCTTGACGAGAAGAAGAAGTACATCAGCGAAGACGAAGCAAAAAACCCTTATGGCTGCTTGGTTTGTGGTGTTGCGGGCCTGTTGCATGCTGTTGGATGCCAGCCGAAGTATGGTAGAGTTACTGCTAGTTCTGATCTTTCCATCGTTTTGCGATGCCCAGGCTATTCGGTGCTGGGCGGCGAGCAGCTCTCGCGCGGCAAGGAAGTGGACGGAGGCTCCAAGACAGCAAGTGCAGGTGACCTGAAGGAGCTGTGCCGAGTCGAACTCACTTGTGACCCTTGCATGTGCCTTACAGCACACTTCGTGCTGCCTCCTTAAGTCGACGGCCCTTTAGTTGGGCATGGCTTAAAATTAAGCCAGCAGGGGACTGCGGGTTTTAGTCCTTGTTTCCATTTACCAGGGCAAGCCATTTTGGGTACCGATGATTGACCCACAGCCCTTTAGTTGTCCAAGCTGAATCGTCGGAACTGCGTGAGGAGATGTTTCAGATGGGGCCCAAAGATGCTGCCGCCGGCATGCCGCCCAGAAAGCTTCCAGACCAGCCATCAGACATGGCGGCAGCGTGGGAGGCCCCTTGGCTTGAGCTTTCCTGGATTGGCTGCTGCTGTTGTGCCAGCTTGCGGCGTGGTAAATTTTGCGTTTTGGTCAGCGAAAGGAGTACTATGACCATGCCAACCAGCTCGCGCAGAGACTCTTGCAAGCGTTTGCGATCGCTCTCGAGCTACCAGAGGATTGGTTTGTCGGCAAGACGGACAGGCATGTGTCCGCTCTGAGATCTAACAACTACCCTGATCAAGCTGGGATGGTCGTGCCGGCAGGGTCTATCCGCTGTTCAGCGCACACGGACTACGGCACTATGACCATTTTGAGATCGGGAGGGCCAGGGCTGCAAGTTTCGAAGGACAAGGAGAATCCCCTGTGGCATGACGTTCCTTTCGTAGCAACTGGGCTGTGGTGTTCGCTCTTCAACTTTCTGTAAATGGGTACATGGGTCAAACCGCAGGTTTTAGTCCTCGTGTTTTGTGTTCTCCGAGAATTCCAGGGTTCCATGTTGGGGTAACCCTATTTTCGACCCAAGTATTGCAAAACCCCAAGCCCCCAAGCCAAGGAAAACGGCTTCGTCATCAACTTGGGGGACCTCATGAGGCGCTGGACCAACGAGCGCTGGAGCTCCACGCTGCACCGCGTGGTCAATCCCCCCGCCGAGAAAGCGGCCGCCTGGGGCCGCCGCCTCGCCATGGCCTTCTTTCACAATCTCAACAAGGTTGGCTTTGATCCAAACCTTTGATACATTTTTTACATTTTACCAGTTTGACTCAAAGTGAAGCAAACAATAAACTACACATTCTATAACTGGGCCTTAACTCTACTCATGTATTCCTTTGGTGCATTTTGCACACGGATGTTGGGACTGAAGAACTTTTGGCCAACTGGGTTTTCCGTATTAAACCACTAAAAGTTAAGCTTGTAGCAGGGGAGCAGAAAGCAACCGAGAAAAGGTCCGGTAAACATGGGATGACCATTGGTCGGAAGACCACTAGACAGGTTTTTGATATGTCCCACTAAACGGAAACGGAGACTTACAACAATGGCTTTTCTGTGTTTCCCATGATCAACATGCACAGCCATGCTTGAAAGGGCAGGGTACTTAGTAAATTGGTAATAACCATCGGTGAGACGACCCAAGAGGGCCTGCGAAGATAACCCAGCAATTCCTTTCCCCTTGGATTTTTGCAGGCTGTTGCTCGATTATTCGCACGGTCGATTCCTACACTCCAGTTAAAAGTTGAAAGAGGGTGGTAATTGGCCATCCCACTTTTGCCACAAAAAACGGAGTTGGAGATTCGACCCGCGGGTGATCCACGCCACTTTGTAAAGGACAGTTTTGTCCTGAAGTATTTGCACCAAAAAGTGAGGGACCCCCCCATGAATGGTGTTTTTCTTTGTTGGTCTTTTTCTCTTTGTTTTTCCCTTGAACCCAACCTTGACGCCAACATCCTGCCAAACAACACGCACGCACAGACACACCGAGAGACTCAGACCCGCGCGCCCGGTGCTTCAGGACGCGGTAGTGGAGGCGATCCCTTCCTGCGTTTCTGAGAGTCGTCCAGCTTTGTATGATCCCATTGCGCTTTGGCGGACTTCGGGGTTGTCTATTTGGGGTTTTGTTTTTTTTGTTTTTATTTTTTGTTCTAGGGGTTGTCAAAGCCAGAAAATGGGGTTGTTTCCCGTTAACCCACCACTGAACGGGGGTGACTTTGATCATGGTAAGACAATGTTGGGGAACCCTATTTTTACCCCAGACCCACATTTGACAGTGTCGAATGACTTGAGCAGCTTGCAGCTAGAATCTTGTCGGCAAGGTTGCAGGGGAGTTCTTGATGCTGAAGCACCTCGCAAGCAATGGCAAAGCTGACCCTGATGCGCACTTCAAGAAAAGAGCTAGTGGCTCGGATGCAGGCCGTGCGCAAAGATAACGCCCGAATCTTCCGAACCCTAACGCGCCTTTCCTTGAGGCTGAAAGATGGGAAGTGCCCGAAGACTCGAGAAGTGACATTGCCACATCATGGAAGTGGAATGAGCACTATTCTGTTCAAGCGGATGTGATGACACCCAGTACTTGAACAAATGTTAACCAGGAAGACAAATTTCACCAGCTACATTATTTGGCTTTGAGTGGCAGCGCTGCACAACTTGTGTGGCATACTGGCCTCATCAGCTTGTGGTTGCACAGCCGATGTTTGCAGCGACTCCGCCTTTTAATGCGGCGCACGAGGATGCTAGCGTGAAAGAGAAAAGTGTATGCGTATGAGCTGCACGGCTGTGACCGCACCAAAATTTGACATTTGTCACTGACAAATTGCGCCTGAGGCAGCATCAAGTTGGCAGGTGCAGCTTGTGGGCAAGAAGAGGCATGCAAGCCTGTTTGTTTCCCAATACCTTGCTTTGCTTTGGGCAGGTGGACTCTTTGTCCAAACACGGAGTCAAGACTGCTGCACACGCAGCTTGATACGCGCTGAGCTGAGAGTCAGTGGTATTTACGTTGATGCCGTTTTTGGCCGCGGCAGCACAGCAACGCAGTCTTTCACAGCTTTGAAAAGGAAGCCCTTTTCAACAGACCGACATGCAAAATGCGGCTCTGCGCAACTTCAAGGCTCATGATTAAGCAGAACATGAGAAAGCCTTTTTCAACAGAGTTGGGTGCCGCGCAGGGACGCAGCTGTGCGACGCGCGAACCCACGCACACATAAATGTAATTGCTCATGTTTGGAGCGGCAATTGAGAAAGCCCCTTTCAACAAACAGATTTGGATGCGACTGAAGCGCAGCCCGGGCACAGCTGAACGCCTTTTTTGCTCAGGTCACAAACCTACAAAATATGCGCTCGACAAGAATTGCTGTGCCTTCAGAAACGGCGGTTCGTCATGGAACCTCGCAACACGTGACGCCTGGCAAGCTCTGGAAATGAGTCCTGTTGCAACGCTTGTTACCCGACAAAAGCGCTACATGTTCCACACGTAATTGTGCATCCGACCCTCAGATCATCAACCTGTTCCGGGCAGTCCGGCTCGGATTAGTGAGCTCTGGGTGCCAGTCATCGATTGTCAGGCACGGAAGTGCAAAGTATGTGCCTGACAAAACTTGAGATCCATCAACAGCATGATGCTGAAGATGTTTTAGACCAACTGTTCCATTATGGAGAATCCGTGGGTGCGTACCGAAAGCGGTCATCCCACTTGAGGCCTTTTACCCTCGGAGCCTTTGGCCAGAAGCAAGACGGAAGAACTGCTTAAAATGCCCACAGCGCCCTACAGCCTGCGAACTGGCGGAGGCTGAGGCGGAAAACTGTCGCATTTGACCCTACCATCTGTGGGCTGTGACCCTGACTCCGGAGGGCTAAACCTCAACCTGGTGCGGAGTAGAGGTAAATGTGACGCGTAGATTTTTTGCGCAGTGGTCGAAGAGGGGTAGGGGAAGGCCGCAGCCAATAAGACTTGTTTTTCGCTGATTTCCCAACAGAGTCAAAGTACCAACAATGTCCAAAATGGTTTCAAATATCCTAATGATGCTGTGGCTGTTTTTGAGCAATTGTGTGAGAGATCCACGGAAAGACTCGACTTTCAGATACACCACCGCTCAAGATATCGAGCCCAAACTGCCAAACGCCACCTGACACGCGAATCGGACACACTGAGCAACATACAAAAACAAGCAACCACCGGACAAATGCAGGTTTTTGCCCGCGCCAGTGTTTGAGCCCAGCTTCACATCCATTTCAGACCCAAGATAGGCCCCACAAGCACCGTTTGTGCGCTTGATCTGATTGGCATAGGCGGATTGAGGCTTGTGTGCCAGTTGTGAGGTACAACCCAGACTATTCCAGATTTCCGCAGTTTGCGGATGCACGATGCGGCCAGGTGGAGCTCAACAGTTTGAGAGCTTCTGTTGCTCAGATGCCTTGTTTTGCAGGTCACAGTTTCTGCCGGAGTGTCGCGGGCATGGTTTGCTGTTTGAGCTCCTTTGTGTTGTCTTTGATACTCGCAGGCAAACGGTTTTATCAACCTGCCAGGAGCTCTTGTATTATCCAGCTTATTGGTGGCATCATACGCTGCAGGCAAATTCAACATGCCAACTTCTCTTGCTTGCTCACTTGATCAATTGTCTTGGTAGTCAGGTGACAACACCAAGCATCTCCTACACTGGGGCGCTGGTTGGTGTAGAAGCTGATCGTTTTGATTTGGGTTCCGATAGGCATCCGATGATTTTATCATCATTTTCCCTTGAAGCAATTTGACCAGGAAGCCACACGTGCAGTTCTATGCGGACTTGCAAGAGAAATGCGGGCGGCCAAGCGCGTCATATATGCGTACAGACAGTGGGACATCTTTTTGTGCCTGAGGTGCGAAGTGCTGGCACAAAGGTGTCGGTGCGAGGCAAAGCAAAGCAAAGCAAACAAAAACTGCCAAACGTTTTTTTTTTTTTTTTGAGGCAGTGCGACGACATCTCGCAGAAGTGGGCCGGTGTGCTGCTGGCCTGCTTGCCGGGCTGATTCGCCCAGGGTGGTGCCATTCGCAGCCCGAGAGCCGAGAGAGACGACGCCAGGCAGCACCGCCGCCCCTGCGGGTTGTGTGCGAGGAGTACCTGCCACGCTGCCTCAGAGCTGCAATTGTTGACATGGCCATGGGTTGCATAACCCATGGCGATCCCATTTTGGGGTGGAACATCCATTTGCCACCTTTGATGTTCACCAGGGGTTCAGGGTTTTCACCCACAGCCACATGGGGTTGGACCAATAGAAGAAAACCACCGAACCAGATTTGACTTTCACATGGGAGACGTTGTCGGTCATGGGGCAAGGAATATTGGTCAACCCCCAATCGGATAGAACAACCTGAGTGATGAGAGCACAAACCTCAGGTCTTCAGCTCTGGTCTGAGCATGCCAAAGCCTTGCATGGTGCCCCGGAGACGTTGGATTTGAATCCTTCGCCCTCTTTTCCCTGTCAGGTATAGCCCAGAAGTCACAAGAGCTGTGAGTAGTTGCTTGCTGGCGATGCGTTGATGCCAAAGAAAGATGCTTTTCCATGGCACGCTGAGCTCTGCAGGGCATGTTGGCAGTTTTGGGGCAGCCACCTGCGAAGCGCAAGCACTGGGCTCGAGCGCGAGACGTAGATCGCCACCTGCGCGGCAAGATGGCAGGACCTTCAGGACTCCATGGTTCGATGGGGGAAAGGGCAAGGCATACCCCAGCCTCAATCAATTGGCCATCTTGAGCAACTCATTTTGACCAATTCGTAATTCGACAGCTTGCCCGGAGCCGGACCTGAGGAACCGGAGGCGGTTTCAGAGCAGTGATCTTTGACTTGGACGGCACTTTGGTGGACACAGAGGAGGCCGCTTTGCACGGTGGCTACGATGTGCAAAAGATCCCCCCCAAAAGGTGGTCAGGAACCGGGCGGCTTGCAAAGCGGGCCTCGCGCAGGCCACCTGCGCCTGGATTGCCGGGCTTTTGGAGCCATTTGACCTGCTTTGGACTCCCGAGCTACACCAAGAAGTCGCAGGCAACCCGAGAGTGCAACAGGGACGGCTGATTCGTGCGGCCACATCCCAGGTACGACCAAGTTCTTTCCGGAAAGGTGTTTGGAAGTATTGGAGGCACGAAGGCCTCACATGATCCGATTGGCTCGCATCATGCTTGCCAGGTTTCGCCGCAAAGGCAGGCAGAGATCATGAAGGTTCTGCCACCGAGGTTGACATCAGCTGAGAGCCTTGGCTTTTGCTGGGACATTGCGCTTGTAGGAAGGTAGGTCAGCTCCTTCCCCTATTCTCAAGGCTGCTTTAGGCACACACACACACACCCATTGCGTAGACAGTATGTTTCATGCTTCCTAGAATTCTGGTTGCGATTTCTTGGTCGAAGCCAAAGTGCACGATGCGAAGAAAGCTGAAGTCAGGGCACAGTTGCTCTGAATGACAGCCAAGGTATACCAAATTCGTGGCTGGTCGTTTCTTGGCGTGAGAGCGGTCTATCATCAGATGACAGTGACCTTCAAACGGCAATAAGGCATGCGTGTCAAGGCTGGCGCAGTGGCGCTGGTGAAGCGCATTCAATCTCTACGTCTTCCCATTGCATTGTGTACCAGCCGAGCACGCCACCTGGCCAAACGTACGCTATGGACAGCATGAATCATCAATAAAGGTTTGAGTTTGCCTGTTGAGACACGGCTGAAGCCATGCGTCAAGTGCTCGCTCAGGTGATGGTCTAGAGGAATTGGTGAAGTTGCGTGGCGACTTGAGGGATTTGCTGGAGCCTATGGAGGCGGGAGACAGAGTCAAAGTTTTGTTTCCAATGGAAAGTCCGGGAGGGTTTGGTAGGTCCGAGTGATTGGATCCGTAGATCCCCGCAGCGGCGAGAAGCTGATGGGGAAGCCAGATCCGGAGGTGGGCTTTAAATAACATCACAGTTCCTCGGAGACTTGATGCTGATAGTTTTACACGTGTGCCTCACAATCGGGCAAGGGTTACTTCACAGTTTCTTTCTTCGCGCATCCCCAAGAAAATGGCTCCCCATTTTGGAAGCAGGTTTACCAAGTCTGCGCCGACATCCTCGGCGTGGAGCCGTCACAATGCTTGGTGGTGGAAGATGCTCTGGTGGGGGTCCAGGCGGCGAAACGTGCAGGCTGTTTCACCGTGGCAGTGCCGGAGATCTGGGGCCATGAAGGCTTTGCTGAGGCGAACTTGTCATTAAGGTCGCTGGAGGATGTCCTTGAGCCTGGCACCTGGACCGAACTATTTGGCCCCCTGCCGCCTCTGCTGGTGGCTTTCGGCAACACCACGGTAGATGCCGTGTGCACAGTGGATCAGTCCGAGCTGGACAAGTTGGGCTTGTCACTGGGGACTGAAGCAACTGGCTTGACAGACACGGAGAAGCTTGCACTTGTTGAATATGCTCTGAGTTGTTGTGAAGCTGTACTGGCCGGCGGGGCAGCCATGAATACCGTGCGAGTGGCCAACTGGAAAGCCATGCATCGAGCTGCCTTCATTGGTGCGGTGGGATGCGATCACAATGCTGCCATACTGCTGAAGGCACTTCGAGAGGTGGGAGTGGTTCCATTGCTCAAGCGTGTTCCCGACTGCAAAACAGGAGTTTGCGGAGTTTTGGTGGAGTCCAAAACCCGCGATCGCACGCTTTCAACTGTCCGGGGTGCTTCAGCCTTTGTAGATCCCGCGTGGATGGAGCAACCCGAGGTGTCTTGCCTGGTTCAGGAAGCTTCCATTGTATACATCACCGCTTTCGTCCTCACTTCTCAGCCACGCCTTGCCGCTGCGGAAGCTCTGGCAGAGCGAGCTCTCCGGGCAGGAGCCAAGCTGGCCCTGAACCTCTCTTCGGCGGGTCTTTTGCACAAGGCTTGACTGTTGGGTTGGATCTTTAGACTTTAACTTTTTGGGAAATAGAGGTGTTTACCACTAAACCCAACCAAGAAGTGACACTTTTTCCAGGGGGGTCAAGAGCAACCAAGAAGGTGAAGGACGCCTTGCTGCGGCTCTTGCCTAAGAGCAGCTTCGTGTTTTGCAATCGTGGTGAGCTTCTGGGCTGGGCGGCGGTTCTTGAGTGGGACGCTGACCCAGCCCTGCGCCTGGCGGGCATGCTGAGACCTGCCGGCGTCGCAGTGGTCACCGCAGGTGCTGAGGCCACGATGCTGGCACACAAGGGTGAGGTTCACTCGTTTCCCGTCCCTCCGACGCTTGACATCGGACGTTGCCGCGAGTCAACATGTTTACATTCTTTTTGCACTTGCGCGATTCGTGTTTGTGTGATGTTCTTGTCGTGATGTACTTTGTTTGAGCCTCCATTGCATCCAAGGGTACTAGCAATCGAAGACACAAACGGAGCTGGCGATGCCTTTGTGGGTGGCTTTCTGTCGCAGGCCCTAGCAGCAGCCCAAGATTGACAAGCGCATGGCAATGCAATCATTTCAGATGTGTGTGTGTGTGTGTGTGTGTGTGTGTGTCTGTGTGTGATTCGGTACCAATTTTGGGGTTCCTTTAACGTGAAACCAAAAAGAAAGACACTATTTTGGAGGTCCCGCTATTCAAACGCCGGCGTTGGCGTGTGCCGCCGCCTGTTGGCCGCCCTGCAGCTTGGGAGGGGTGGGCAACCTACCTCAGCCAGGTGTGACACTCCTTCGTAGGCGCTTACGCTGTTGCACGCGATGTAGTCTCGCTGTTGTGCTGTGTTGAAGAATTGCTTGTGCACGCGACGCTGGCAGCAAGCAAACGCCTGAGATCCTCGTAGTGGTTCTTGTAGGTTTGCACTATGTCATGTTAGACTCTGGTTTGGGCGCAGGTTACCCACTCTCAGTTTTTTTTTGTTCTTGAGCCACGCTATGTAGAGTGTCGTTTGGGCCGCGCTCGGTTAGTTCAGACGAGGCAAGAATCCGCGCTAAAGGGCATTACAACGCCGCACACACGCACAAGACAGCATACGAGAGCATCCACAACACATGCTGGCAGAGCCGGCAGAGTTTGATGTGTGCCGAATGGCTTGAACTGGTGGCCTCACCTTAGGAAGATGCATCTTGGTCTGAGTGCGTCGCGACAGGCTGCTCGTTCGCAATGTGTTTGTGGGTACTATGTTCACAAAGCATCAGCGTGTCAATGTCAGTCCAAAGCTCACTCTGAGCTATCAGGGCAGCAGGCGCCCCCCAAGTCATTTGCAGGCAGCGGGCGAATTTTGCAGGTGTAGATTGAGCACCTGCGCCGAGGTCACGACTGCGCCGCAAGTATCCTTCAATGCCAGGGTTGCGATTTGCGGAGCGCCAAAACAAGACCGTCTTGATGGCTGACAAGCATTCGCTTCATGGCGGGCGCCATTCCACGTTTCCATTTGAGAACGTCCATGTTTTGGCCTGCGACGCGCGGTTGCCAGCGCCACGCAGATCAGCATGAATGACTTCAGCGCCAGTGAGGACCGTCATTCTGCCCCGTGTCCAGGTGGGATGCTTTCCACTTTGGACTGATTCTTTAGGACGGCCAAGTCTTGCAGCACAACCTGCTCACCAGCTCTAGCCTCAGAAAATATATTGCCTGCTTATCCTACTGGCAAAGCAATCGCGGCGCCGAGATTCGCTCAGAATTCCCACACTTTTTTTCTTTTTAAACGTTGGTTGGGTGATTGTCACAAGGACGGAGAGGATTGCTATCTAACCCGCCACACTGGGATGGTCCGGTTGTTTAAGGCATTTGACTCTGAGGACCGACAGAGTTCATGAAGCTCTGCGAGGCAGCACTCCAGGAGTTCGGCTCCGAGCTTCCTACATGAGCAATCAAAACCCGGCTAGATGAAGCTTAGAAAGGGACAATCCAAACCATAAATGGCTGTGGGTCAAAGATAGGTACCCGAAATGGAACCCTGGTAAATGGAAAAGTAGACTAAAACCTGCGTATCCCTAGGTCTTGAATTTTGAGCCACGCCCAAATGGGCGCCGCCCTTTTTCTATGGCTCTGGCAATACCATTTCAATACCAGGTTTGGATTGTGACTCACATGGACAATTGCTCAGTTTGCTGAGCTGCCTAGTTCAACATATGACGGTTCATAGTGCAGGACCTGTACAAGGAGTTTGTGCACAGAGAAGATGACAGCATGCCCCAGAAGGTCTGGACTTAGCTCGCTGCATGTGTTTGGATATTCAATGCATTCAATAGTCATAGACGTCAGGTGCCACTGATACAGCTTGCAATCAAGACCGACGCAGACCTCGATGGCATCTCCCTCAGCATGAAAATCTCCGCAAAGACTTCCCTGATGGATTTTCAGGAACCTTTGGGACAATGAAGCCCAAAATGTGTCGTCCTCAATTTTCACCTGCAGAGGGCAAGCTTTTGCTGCACAACCTTAAAGCCCTTGAGTGAATGCACGGCTGCCTCAAGGATCCGAGATCTCACTTCGGACCAGGCCAGGGGTGGCATGTGGATTTGCAAAGTGTTGCAAGCAATCAGGGAATCAACCGCACGGTGCTTGGTGAGGTTACACGCATACGGCGTGATAAAGTACACCTGCTGAACGCAGGTTGAGAAGCTTATTGTGATCCAGGGCATTGTTGCCTCAGTGAAGACTCCACGCGACAAGGAGCTTTCCTTAGCCCACCAAAGGGCTCAGCGCGGTCCATTTGCGGCTCAGGTCCGAAAGGTGGTACTGAAGTGCAGCAACTGTGAGAATGTGGAAGAGGCGGCCTCCTTCGAGATCAGCATAGTCGCAATGGATTCACTGCAGGTCATTGTGGAGACGGGATTCACTGCAGCGCACATTCCGGGCGCCTGCAAGGGAAACGCTTTCCGTGCAGGGCGGCATCCTTATTTTTTCGTCTAATGCTTCTTAAAGGATGCTCTTTCTGACAACAGGAACATGGAGAAGTGCCCGCCAAATTCGTTTGCACAGCTGGCCTGCTTGACGCCTCTTGATCTGAAAAGCCGTTAGGCTGTCCTTGGCCAGGTGGCAGTTGGAGATCTGTGTGAGTATGCAGTTGACCAGTCTATCCGGCTACAAGAGCTGCCAGAACACGTGCGCAATACAATTAATCATGCAACACGTTGGTATGTCTTTTTTTGAGGGCAACCCTTTTTTGTGTGGTTTTACAGGAAAACCAAACGTAAAACCTCCCTAAAAAAGACCCCCCCACACCGTTCTCTTGAATGTTTATTTCATAAAAACAAAGAAAAGGTCGCGATCTCCAATGTGCCTGAGGTACCAGTGGGCGAGATGCCTCGGAGCATTGAGCTTTGCGCGCAAATGCGCCCTGGCATTGACTGAGCTACCAATACGCATTGACCAACTCCAGGTATGACGTGGACAAAGCCAGCCCCGGGACCAGGCTCACTTGTATCGGACGCTTTGCAGCACCTATGAGATATCGCGGTGTGCTTGCCTTTACACCGGCCGCAATAAAGCAACTGAGAAGTTGTCGAGGAATCTTCTGCGCGACCGAGAAGTCAGCTGGTGACAAGTTGTCGAAGGGAAGGACGCAGCGAAAAAAAAAAAATCCGCGTGCTGCAAGCTTGGTTTGAGCTGACGGAGCGTTTTGACCGAGAGTCTCGAATCTTGACCGCCATGCAGGAATCAGGGCACCAACACAGTGAAGTATTCTTACATCCAGGCCAATTCCTTACTCCTCTTGGGGTGTTCATCTTTTTCCATCTGGTTGAAACAAGGGCGTCGACATCTCCATCTGAGCCGCAATCAAAGCCCGGGTAGATGAAGGTTAGCAAGGGACAATCCCAACCACAAATTGTCGCGGCCGCCTTCTTAATTCTTTTCATGCTTCTGGGTAGACCAATTTAATACCAGACCATTCTAACCCCAGGTTTTGATTCTGACTTGCTTCTGGGTGGACCAATTTAACCCCAGGTTTTGAGCAAGTGACTCATGTGTCAGACCCCTGAAGTAGCGTGAACCCGCCAACGGCAGGTGCTGGGCCTCCAGCTGGCCCAGGGCAAGGGCCAGGCCGTGTGCTTCGCGTGCTTCGCGTGCTTCGCGTGCCGGGATGGCTGTGGCGGACGCGCAGGGCGGTCCCAAGCTCAGCGCCGAAGAGGAGGAGCACTTCGAGCACATGGCCAAGGACCGATTCACCAGATTCACCAAGGTGAATCTGAATAATGTTGACCCCGGATTAATAAACCCCTGTTTGTTAATATGGGGGTGTTCCCCTCCAAGAGTGATAAATCCCCACTAAAACCAGGGACACCCCCATATGAATAAACAGGGGTTTATTAATCCGGGCTCAACATTAGGGGCACTCTTTGGTGGACATCATGGGGATTCAAGTCCAACCACTTTGGAGGTTCTAATGCGTGAAGTAGGGGAACCCCTCACAATGAGATGCCTCCCTTTAGTCTTCTCTTGACATAATCCCAAAAGGGGTAACCCACAAAACGACATGCCCACACGCAAAGTCTTTGGAGACATCGCTGTCGCGTCCATGAGCGAGATGATCGGAGTCATTGTTCGTGAGTGCGAAGGATCCCCAAATCAGAGAGATGATATTCAAGCAAGCTTCCTAGATGCTAGAGGAGCCACCAGCGTGTTTTTTGCTGTGGCACGTGTGAAATATGAGGTCAATCGCACCTGCAATTTGTGCAAGCGAGAAGGACCCGCCACACGCGTGACTTTGCATTGCAGCGTTTTAGACCTGTGAAATCTTCATGCCAAGCGCCTACTGTGATGGGGGTACAGGACTCTATCAATCAGGTCAAACGAGCCATAGCTTGCGACCACCTGAGATGAATGCTTCAGACAACTTGCACTTCCTGCGACGCTTTGTTCGGACGCTGCATCATTGCATTCAGGCCTGCTTTTCGGAGGGTCGAGAAAACAGCTGCCCAGCGGCAATCGTTTGCGAGGCATGCTGCAGCTCAACACGCAACATGTCCTGGCGGTCTGTTCGAAAGGTGACATCAACGTGCTTTTGCTCGGCGACCCTGGAACTGCAAAGAGTCAGGTGCACTGTTGGCCACTGACTGCAGAAACACATCCCGGCTTCTGCCAGTTCCTGAAGTTTGCGAACCAGGTGGCTCCGATTGCAGTGTGCCCTTTTCACGTGACGATCGAGGGTTTGAGTTCAGAGCATCAGACTTGCCTTGGCTGTCTATTCTTTTTCAGTCGCTATCCGACGCGTGTGCGCTTCTCACTATAGTTCACACCATGGTCCGCCAACAAGGCCAGAAGGCCAACAAGGTTTAGTTTTTGCGAACCAACAAGCTTTAAGCTTACCAACATTCCGCACTCAAGTCTGCGTGGCTGAGATGCTGTTCTCGAACAGCAAAAGGTACACTAGCGGCAAGGGCAGCAGCGCTGCGGGTCTCACTGCCGAGCACTTGTTCCAGTTTTTCATGCGGCTACGTTGCGTTTGGCCATTGCCAAGGCTGCCATTGTCAAGGATGGTGGGGGCTTTACACTGGAAGGCGGCAGCATGCCTGTGTTTGAGGGGGACCCCAGGTTGAGTTTAGCCAGAATCGATTGAAGGGCGGCAAAGCGTTTTTTTTGTTCGTTGCGTAGTGTGGATGCGATGGAGAGGCGGAGCAATGGTTCTGGCCGACAATGGCTTGGTAGCAACCTCAGTTGCGTTCTTCCCGTGTATGGAAAGCATTGGAAAGCGTGCATTCCTTTTGGGCACACGCACACAGAGCTCTTGTTGACTGAGGGTTTACATGTCTCAGGTTTGCATTGACGAGTTTGACAAGATGGACGAGAAAGACCGTGTTGCTATCCATGAGGCGCTAGCATGAAACCAAGATGCAGTACCCTGAGCCTGAAAAGTTGCGAGGGAGAGAGAGAAAGAGCGAGGGGGAGCATCACGAAAGCTTGATAGGCCATGGAGCAACAGACCATCTCCATTGCCAAAGCTGGCATGACAACCATGCTGCGGCCTTGTGGCTTTGCGGCTTGACATGGACGCACATGGGACTTGGCTCTCGGCGCTTGGCACCGTACTTAGGTTGAACACTCGCTGCAGGCCAGTTGCAGATTGATGACAGAGAACTGCGATCATCCTAGGCGATACATCTTATTTTTGAGTGCATTGATCGTGCCAGTGTGCTTGCTGCGGCTAATCCACGATTCGGGTCCTACGATGATCTCTCTGACACTGCGGATCAGGCCGACACTTTATGTTTGCTATGCCTTGTGAACCTGCAAGCGTCATTCCTGTTTGAAAGTATGCAGTCGGAAGATGGAGCAATACCCTGTCCTTGCAGATGGATTTTCAGACTACCATCCTCTCCCGGTTTGACATGATGTTCTTGGTCAAGGACCACGATTGCGGAGGCAGGCGGCTTTCCTGCATGTTGAATAACAGGATGTCAGAGACCCCGAGCGCGACTACAAACTGGCCAAGCATTTGGTGGCGCTTCACAGCGGAGCTCAGCTGGAGGAGACCGGTCTGTGACCTGCAGATTTGCATTGAAGTGACCTGCAGGAGACCAAGGCGCCTCTTACAAACCAGGAATTGCGCAAGTGCTCTTGCTGAGGCATGTCCTGTACTGAAAGAATGTTGGATTACAGGTACATTACCTACTGCCGCAGCAAATGCTCGCCGCGTATTACAAAGGAGGGTGCCGAGGCATTGGCGGGATTTTGAGGTTGATCGAAAGGTTCTTGGGATGACCATTGGGGCAAACCATTTCACAGATGAGCTTTCCCACTAATTTTTAAAGGCAAAGGTTTTTCTTGGTCATTTGGGAGCCAGGAATCTTGATCAACCCCCATTTGATTGGTCTTGCCTCGCATCCAAAAGGTCTTGAAGAACCACTATGTCGCCATCCGAAAGGCGATGAAGTCAGAGAAGGCACACTTGGTGGCGTTTGATTAACAAATTGTGTTGGGAATGTTGCGATGCTCAGGCCACCATTCCCATTACAGTGAGGCTCGTGTTGCTCGGTGCTGCCTGAAAACCAACAATTGCTTGGGGTTTGAGCTGCTCAAACAAATGCCCATGAAGCACACTTCCGTATTTCGTCCGAATGAAAAGGCAGCTGGAAGCCATCGTGCGAATTGCGGAGAGCGCCTCGGCAAGCAACACGGATTGCGAAGAAGACCCTGTTGCTCAGTTGGGATTTCAGGGTTGCACAGACGAGAAGTTTGGGGTCGTGGTGATTTAAGCCCTTAAGCCAAGAAGGCATTTCAAGCTTCAGCGGCAGCAGGCCTTGCCAAGATGGAGCTGCAGGAGGAATGCGTTTTTGTCGAGCATCATGAACCCGACTTGAGATGCGAATGAGCCCATTTTTTGGGGGTTGGCTTTCGTAAACCAACCAGCTGGAGGGACCCGTGCTGTTGACAGAACTTCTTGCAACAGAACATCGCACATGCGTGGCATGCACATCAACCAGTCCGCAGTTCTGGGTGGCGCTGGACACTTTGCAGATGTGCAGGACGCTGACGTGAGCCATGTTGAGGAGGCATTGAGACTGTTCACGGTGTGCTAGGCATGTTTGGATATTCTTGAATACCGAGGGAAAAGCAAGATGCCAGGTGTCAACGCTGGACTCTGCAAATCGCGAGCGCAACGGTGTGGGCCGCATCCTAAGCCTGCGGACCTCAGGTCCGGCATTGAGCTGTTGACAGTGACTCCATTTCGAGGGATTGATGTGCTGTCAGATGACGAGAAGAAGGTCCGGACAACTTCCTTGAACTGCAGCATGTCTTTGTGTCAGGGATGGCTTTTTGACCAAACCCAAAAAAGCCGAGTTGATCCGTTTTCGTTTTCGCTGCTGCAGTAAAGAACCTGAATGACATTGCCAGGAGCTGCTGGAGGCGGAGGAGGCTGCCTTGCCTTGCGGATTGGGTGGTGGCACGATCTTTTTGGTTTGTTTCCCTGGATGCGCGGACGTGGTTTTTGGCTGGCAGGTCATCCGAAGATTGGTTCCGCGTGGCGGTCTGGGGCTTGGGAAGCGCCGTGAGATCAGCCGCATGTGGCCTCAAAGCTTTGGTTCTTTCGCTCTCCCGCAGACTTTCGAGACTCTAAACGGATATGATACCGCAGAATCGCGCAGAGGCACGAAGCACTCGTTTTCTGAACGCAGCCTCCTCAAGCAGCAATGAGGTGATGCCACAACCGACCGGAGACACACACACACACAATTGCGAGCAGGCTGATCGTTTGCGAGCCTTCCACAGCTATTGTCCAGACACAGGCAGCCAGTCCTCCAGTCTTTGGGCCGTACGGGCCATGGTGGCAGAGGTGGATGCTGCCGGATGGCCTCGGGTAGCCTTGATTTTGCTGCAGCGAACCATGCGGCTGGGAATGATGTGGGACGTAAAGGGGACTCCTGGCTGCGACAGGTCCTGACATGTAATTTCTCGCTGGGCCCAGGAAGCTTCCTTGGAGACATCGCTTTACTTCAAGCCGCGCCTATGCTCAGCGTCAAATCGCAGAGCACGGCAGCTTTGTGTTCCTGGTGCTTGGCACTGAATTAGTTGAGTTGAGCATCCCAGCTTTGGTCCGAGTTCTGCCAAATTGGAATTCAGGTCATGCTAGCTGCTCAATTTGGCTTGCAGCCACTTCTGGCCAAACGGCTCTTGCCGCGGGGCGCTGCCGCTTCAGTCATCCTTCTCAGCTCCAACACGACGAAGATCCTCATCTCAGCCGCTGTGTTGCTGCATCTCGGGTCAGAAATCCAGGTTTCCTTGAAGACGCGCTCGACTTGTCATTTGTGGGTTGCTTGGATGTCAAGAAGACTTGAACTGGAGGCTTGGCTACAGCAATCAGCAACTCATGGAGATTGCCAGGAGTTGGACCTTTAGATCCTTGTCAGCATACGGACAGTTCGGGCAATATTTCCTCAAGTTGCAAAAAACAATCGCTCGATCTTTCCCCAAAAGCCCGAGGAACTCAAACATTTCCCAGAATATGGCATTATTCGATTTTGCACAAAGTGATTCATGCACACACACACACACACATAAACTGAAGTGATTTCCCATTTTCCTCTGCTCATTTCTTCATTTCAGCGGTTGCTGTTGCTTTGATGCAAAGACTGCGTCAGGAGACTCCGTTATGAAGGCAGGCTTGCCTTCGGCACTATTTGCCGGGCAGGGCTGGCTTCTCCAAGTGGGACCTTTGCTGAAAATGGAAGACATGGCTGTGGGTCAAAAACCAATGGGATCCCGTTTTGGTTGGTCGGTGAATTCACCACCCATTTTAGAGCCTATTTTAGCGGTTGGATTGGTTGATGTTCACCGGGGGTACGGGCTTTTTGGCTTTGGATTTTGACCCATGAAAAAACAAAAACAAAAAAACGGTCAGCCGCCCACGACTGACTGACTTTCCTCGCCAAATATCAGTCCAGGAGTGGTATTTGTTTCTTCTTTTTATCGGTCGAAGGTCAGACTCACCTGGACTCGCTGACCTTCAACCTCCTGAACCAGACCAAGACTTTGTCTGCGGCGTTGCTGTGCTACTTGCTGTTGGGCGGCGCGGCAGGGCAAGAGCAGAGGCGTCCATTTTGTTTTTGTTTTTGGTGGTCTTGGTCGAAAAATCGAGGGGAAGTTCGATCCCTGGTTTGCCTGGTGGTTCAATCGTCTACCAGGGAAACCCATCTATTTGCCCCAAAAGGACACCTATGGGACAGAGGTGAAGACATCAAACATCGTGCTGTGAAGCACATTGTTTTTTCGCCAATATCTCGACCTAGCTTTTGACCTAGCATGCATTCGATGTTTGCCCATGCCTCGGAATTCGATGGCTTAAGGAAAGCGACAGTCTGGAATGCAGTGTTTTGCCCTCTTTCTGCTCTTTGTCTCGGCATTGCTACTCGCGAAGAGAAGACCGAGTTCCGCAACTGCTGATCACCTTCACAGGCGTTGGCAGGGTCATATTGGACAGTTTCGGACATTTCTGGTGGAAAGGTCTGATTTGAAGTGAAATCTGGCAATATGTGCAATAGCTAGCAAGTCGGGCTTGAATCTGACTTGAGGGACGATCACTAGATGCCAGGTTGCGTGTCACCTCATGTTTTAGGGAATTGCTGATCATGTGTCCGGTTATTGAGCGTGGGTTGTGCATCTGCAACTTGTTCCCCAGATAGCTGAAAGCTATGGGGGTTCTAACTTCTAATAAAGGAGGTTGAAAATGATTTGGGAGATTGCCCAAATAAAACCTATTAAATAAGGCCGTATTCAGGGCTGAAGGGCTTATTTGGGCTACCTGCCCCCCTTCCCTCCCTCCCAGCCCGCCCCATGATGGTACGTGTGCTGCGGATTTTTTGTTAGCTGAGGGACGAGACCTTCTGGCTGGGCGTCGTCCCAGTACTGGTCGCTGTCCTCAGCTCGGGCCTCACGGCTGCGCTGACTCAGCGCGCCTTGAAAGGCTCCCAGGGCCGGAGCCTCGCCAGGGCACTGGGGTGGGTTTGACCCTCACGTTAGCAGGGCCCCTCAAAGGATTATATATATATATATTATGCATACATATATATATATATATATATATATACTATGCATTTTTTGTATATATACATATACATATATATATATATATACATATATATATATATATTCATTTGGGCCACTTATTTTTCCCAGCTGATTTGGAGAATTTCCTCCAAGGCAGGTGGTTTTGGGATGTGTCCTTTTGAGGAATTTGTCCATTTGTCGGAAGTGGACATGTGCCAGCCGGGGTCAGGGAGATTTGAGGCAAAGCTGACTGAGGGCCGGCCGTGGCATTGAGACGGCGATTTCCTTGTGTGTCGAATCTGTGGACGTGGTATGTGGCGAATCTGTGGACCTGTAGACTATATAACGAGTACCAAAAGATGACTAAAAAGGACCAACAAGGAAACTCGAGGTTAAATCCACAAAACGCGCATCCAAGCCGGTTTTTAGGTGGCGGCTGTGCCGAGGAACACTTGGCTCTACTCCATGGAGATTTCAATCTGGGGGTCGTTCTTCTTGCTTTGTGGCCAGCTCAGTCAGCACTTTGTGGGAGGCGCGCTTGGACGTTTGCATGATGGCCAACCGTGCTTGAATCCCAGCTTAACTTTTTGATCCTTGGCAGCGCAGGAAGCAGCAGCATCAGTGCTGGCAGTATACTGGAATCAGCATTCCAGGCGCAGAGTCACATAACACGGCGTGGGCATTGAGAAGATTTACAAGCTGACTAACCAGATAAATCGTACAAGTAGTAGAACGCCCGCATCAATCAGTCAGCACCTGGTTGAGGAATAGTGGGGCTCGCTTTTAGCGTTTGGTCATTTCGATGCAAGCCGGATCAGCCAGGCTTATTTGCATGGGATTCTTATTCAGTGGGCCAAGCTGGGGCAGCAAGGGATTGTCAAGCGTGTATGAGATGAAAGAAGCACGCCGGTAGTCTTTGTGGTCCCAAAGTATTAGTATAAAGCAGGTATCTTTAGCAAGCTGCTGGATGAGCATACAGTCCTGCCGCAGGGCTGGTCAGCTCAATGCATCCTGCCTATCTCGACGCAGGCCGGCAAGTGCTGAGAGCATGCATGCCACGGTCAAAGGCTCATAGTGGTCATCGACCACCATGTTTTGGCCATGGCACTTAAGCGACGAGGCTGTGGGTGGCATTTTGGTTGGCCTCGTAACCAAGCAGCCTGGCTTGTAGTGGGCAATTGCATGGTGAATCCAACAGAAACACCGGTGAAGTACGGTTGTCTAGGCTGTGAGCAGAATGGACAGAATGTCAGAGACAGTGGTAGCTGAGCATCACAGCCCAGAAGATAAAAGTGACACGCACACACACACACACAAACTCACAAACAAACTCTGACACACAGAAAAACACACACACACAAACACACAGACACAGACACACGCACACACAGACACACACACACACAGACACACAAAGACACACCGAGACAGACACGCAAGCACAAACACACACACACACACACAAACACACACCCACACGCAACCACCCGCCCACCCACCCACCCACACACACACACACACGCGTGCAAACCACACAAACACACACACACACACACACACACACACACACAC